GAACAGCTGAAGCTAGCTGGCGATTCATAAAGCCAACAGTTTAAAGTTTATTATGATGAAAGCCCTTAATGACAGCCATCGCTAGGGGCCCATCATTTATAAAGCTGTGCTGAGTATTAGACATGTAGCATGACCACCAATTTTATGTCACAATTGCTACCATAAAATGACCTTTGGTGATTTTTGCTGCATGTGGTGGACAGCTCTTCCTTCACATTAGTGCTCTGTGGCTTTCTTTGCAGACTATTATGCTGTCTAAAGCTTATTTGGCACTGTCGTGAGCCTCAACCCTGGTTATTACCCCGAAGGCCTGTCTAAAAAAAAAAAACAACAAAAAAAAAAACTCATGCTCTATTACGCCACTCCAATAATTTGCAGTTCTTACCAGCCTTGGGTCGTGTAATATTTTAATGCAAATATGCTTTACCATTGCATTTTATTTATTTATTTTTCAAGTTTCCCATGTGTGATGCTGGCTGGTGAAACATTCTCTTGTAGTTAGTTCACTGAAATCAGTCATATTCCCTGATCAGGTCTACTGACGGGGTACTGTTTATTCTGACCAGTTAAAACAGTGCCAGAAGAAAAAAAAAAAAAAAAAGGTTAATTAAACTTGAGGTTTTTTTTTTTAACCCCACGTGTGGTGAGCCCACCCTAAGCAAAAGCTCAAGTTCTTATTTCCCTGCATCCAAGCCCAATGCAAATTTACATCTGAGTAACATTATTTAATTAGGCTGCCATTTGTCACCCTGCTTTGTGTAGTTAGAGAGTGTTTGAATACATGGCCACTTTACTGCTCCTATGTAAACTGCCGTTGAGAAAGTGGCCTGTCCATGCTACCTTTAAATTGTGTATATAATTTTATAAATGATATAAAATCTGCTTCTAGTCTCTGGGGAAAAAAAAAACCACGAGCATGGCACACTGCAATTTTGGAAGGATTTAAAATATGTGATTTCTGCTGGTACCTACTGTATTGGGTTTTATATAAAGCTTTTTCAATAAGGTAAATTGTTACATGACAAACTCATCTCCACCATTATCATCTGCTGTTTGTGTTTAACAACAGGAGTCCCGCTCTAACAAAACTGTTGTAATGGCTGCACAAATTACTCAGCTGAAAGCTTTTCACCAAACAAAACAGTATTAATCAGCAGTTCTTATGAAGGTGCTAATTAAAAACAATTTTCTTCCTCAGTTTGCAATACTAAAACCATCTTCACTTGCACTTTCCACTATACGGCTACTGTATTTGCTCACACTTCAGGCCTTCCATTAACTATTGAATCTCCTATTAGCCATTTTATTACATTTCTGTTTACAAGCTTGTTGACATTTTAAAAGTCACATTATGATCTGTTTTATCTATTAGAAAATGTATTAATTGAAAAGTCAGGGAGACAAAAAAATAAATAAATACAGATTCCAAATGCACAGACTTCCTAAGCAGGATACACAGAAAGCCTTCAGCCCCAGCCTGGGGAGCAAGCAATCTGGATAAAATGGAATCTGAAAAGTCCAAGTGGCATTTCAAGCTTGATGGTTTGTCAGACATCCGTGGGCTGGGCTCCTTTATAATTTGGAAATAGTCCACTCCGGAAAACAGATTTGCTGTGGCTAAAGTCAGTCTGCCTTTCAAACTACTTTTCTTTTGTGAGACATACTCAATGTGATTATGATGTTTCCGCAGTCTGAAGACAGGACAGTTTGATCCATGGAGGAGAATGCTACAGCCACAACCTGGGGCCACACAGCCTCATCCTCCCAGTGAGTGTGGTACATATGCACATGTTCAGTGGGACTCTCTTGACCATGTGGACATCCTGCCCCTCCCCCAAAGTCCACTGAAAGGGTTTGCCAGACAATGCTTCCCAATTGTCTGGCATTGATGGAACCAAATCAAGTGCTGACTTAGCACAAAGCCAAAAAACCTACGGAAGCTGAGTTGAAGGAAGGAGACAGTCCATTCTTATCAAAACAAAAACAATAATGCCCATCTCTTAGGAAAAGGTGTGCCCTACTTTGGTAGTGGGAAGAAGAAAAAGAAGAGGAAGAAGAAGAAGAAGAAGAAGAAGAAGAAGAAGAAGAAGAAGAAGAAGAAGAAGAAGAAGAAAACTCCCCCCTCCCACCTATTGCATTAACCAGGTTCTTCAACTGTCAAAGGCACTTAACTAGTTAGGACAGACACCTGGCTGCTGGAACAGGGCTCCAGAGAGGCCACTAATCCTCCCTTCACTCAGTTAACTGCTGGATCCCCCAAACTGATTCAACAGGTATGCAGTGGTAAATTCAGCCTAGACTGAAGCCAAGGGGAAAAACCAGCAAGGGGCGGGCAGCTCTTCTCTGAAAACACCCGAGGAACCAGCCAGAAAAGCTTTTACGGCCCGACAAGTTTTCTGCTGAATACTGAGCACCTAAATTACCCTTCCCTAATGGAAGTTACATTTTCATGCTCAGTCAAAAAGCCAACAAAATACACAATTTATACAAAATAGCAGCAACCTCTGAGGCAGTCTTTCCGAGCACTTTTATCCCAATTCACGGCATATGTCTTGCTATAAAATAAAATATATTTCTCATAACCAACTTGGACGTGGTTGTTCATATCACTGCTTTACAACTGCCCATGGACAATATTAGATGCATTCTTACACCCAACCAAATCTACAAAAGAAAATCATGAGTTTTATCAGAAGATTAAAAAAAAAACCTATAAAAAAGAATGTACTAATTCTTAATGTCGTTTTTTTTGTGTGTTTGTTTTTACTTTTTTTATTTTATTGTAGTATGTGTGTGTTGTCATAGTGTGCACATGGAGGTCAGAGGATAGCTTTTGGAAGTCAGTTTTTTTTTTTTTTCTTCCACCATCTGGGTCTTGGGGATTGGGCTCAGAGAGTCTGGTTTGGCTGTAAGCACCTTTACCTGCTGAGCTACCTCACTGGCCCAGAATCCCCTAATTCTTATGGCTTCCCAGGCAGACAGGCTCCTTTTGGAAACAAACACATGCATAATTATGCAGACAATTGTAGAATGGGTCACATTATTGCAGCTATATAATCTAATACTAATGCATAAAGTTTAGCTATATAATCTAATACTAATACATAGAGATACTCATAAAGTTCATGAAGAAATATAAATGGGCAAACTTTTTAGAGTTGCCTTAGTTTTCCTTCTCAATACCTGCATTCTATTAAAAATGTAGAAACTAATTAAAAAACACTTTTCATGCATTCAATAATATAACATCAGTTTCTTATAAATGTTGAGAGAGCCCAGCACAGGGATCCTTCCAGGTAAAGATTCCATAAAGAACATATCATGAACCCCTGAACATATGACAGGGGATCTAGGAGTCATAATCACACCATGATAAATATATTCTTACTGTGCTCTTAGTAGGAATAGCTCAACTTTGACACACTGTTCTCAGATATTTCTAGAAAACACACTGCTAGTTTGCTTTAAAAAAATTTAAAAAATACTTCTCCCAAAGAACTGAGCAGTACACTTGTGTATCTGCCACACACAAATGCAAACTGCATTTCTGCCAGTTCTTGTAGTTTTTTGATTGAAAAGAAAGGAAATATTCTCATGGTCCTGCTGTTCTATACTTAAAGGGGGGGTGGGGTGGGGATAGATCATCTTAGGTGCCACTAGAGAGAGGCTTCCTTTGTCTGAGATTTAGTTGTAGGTTTTACCTAAGAAATAATTCTCCCTGAATCTTCCTATGAGTGAGATGATCATGTTGCTTTAAAAAAAACCATCCCAAATTCTAATTTTTTTTAAACAAGAAAATATGAAGCCAGTGTGCAACCCACACAGTCACCAAAGGAGAGCTGCCACCAGCTGAACTACTCAGCTAAATGGTTGGTTTGCATTGCCCTGGTCTTTATCTAGCACTGAGAATAGACTGCTGTTTTATCCAAAGAGGAATAAATTGCTGTTATTGTGATGTTAGCCCATCACTTGGCATTGCAATTCAAGTTTTTGTGAGAAAGAAATGTATGATCTAAGTGCGACTTGACCTATGCCTTCTGAGATCTGTCTAGGTGCTTTAATGGAGCAGAAAAAGTGGCGAATACAGGGACATGCAAACTGATGGTAAGATTTTTGTTTGATGATAGAACTGGGCAGAGAAGTCACTATTTTTATGACATCTAAGTTTGCTTAACATGCAAAAAGATGAGCCTCCCCAGGTCCCCCCTCCCTCTCCCCCCCCCACCTATCACTTTAATTGTATCACACTGAATATACACTTTTCTTCTGCTAAAGATATGAGAATACACAGCTAACCCACCTAATGACATTCCTGCCAAAGTGGGCACAGATGATTCCTTGCAGATAAACATCTGAATTTCCACAAAAGGCATTAAAGCCCTTCCATGGAAGCACCAGGCAGGTTGGGCTGGGGGTCCTTGCAGAAAGGCATCATCCTGGGTATCGCCTACTCAATGTTTACTGTACACTCAAGTCTCTGAAACTAACAATATATACTTATTTTAAATAAGATAATTGTGTGATTGAGTTTTGGTTTTTTTTTTTAAACTCCCCCTGGTTGCAATCTAGTTTATCTACCACTTATTCAAAATTTCTCTGGAAGAGACCTATTTTGAAAGAGACTCGGAGAACAGCAGCAGTTAAGATTTAAGCCCGGATAAAGGCTCACTTTTCATTCATAGTCAGAGCCTAAATGTGCTCTTCTTGTACCTAAACAGATAATAAGCACTGAGCACACTCCCCCTCCTTGACACAGCACACTGAGACTAATCACACATAATTGGAGAGGAGGAGCCGAGGGCTGGGCACGCTATTGTGTCCAGAGGACAAACGGTCAGTTTATGAGGCTTTGGGCTGATGTAGTCATTTCTTATACATCTATAGGGAAAAAAAACATTCTGTTCAAAAAGAAAAAAATAATGAGAGAGAGAGAGAGAGAGAGAGAGAGAGACAGAGACAGAGATGATAGACTGAAGCAATGAATTGGGACATCAGAAAGATGGGGTTTATTTATTTATTTACTTAACCAGAAAAGAAGGGTGACGTTTTCTGTGTTTACAGATTTAGACTACCATTACCAAACGGAACAAAGACAATTTAAAAAGGGGGGGGGAGGTGGGAACCATCAAAAGAAAATCTGCTTTAGAGAGAAAAATATTTAGATTGCTCACAAGTCCAATTCTGATCTCAGATAGGCTGCTGACACACGGAAACACACAAAGGTTTGGTGCAGAAGAGCAACAAGCTGCTTAGAAGACGAAAAGGTTTAGGAGCTGGCGGGGCCGCCCAGGAGTGATGTGTGTGTGTGTGTGTGTGTGTGTGTGTGTGTGTGTGTGTGTGTGTGTGTCTAGTCCCAGAACCAAGATTTGGAATGTGAAAAAGTAGGTGGGGCTCTGAGTCTCAGGGGACCCGTGGCAGACTTCTCTTCTTGTGAAAATAATTTTCCGTACATCTGATTTTTTTTCTCTGTCTTCTATCTCGTTTTGGTTAAAATAAGCAGAAGGGGGTAATGGAGATTTTCTTCATATATGTCCGAGTTTTCTTTTTTCAACTGAAAATAAGAGAAATACAAGGTAAGAGGAGTCAAGTGAGGAATTTTTATAAATTGATAATGCTAATTCAAACATGATGATGATTTTAACCTAAATATATAATTCTTGAAAAATCAATCACATAAGAGCAACTCAACATGGTTGGTGATAGTACTGCCATGATGACGATATTAGAATAGGAATCTGAGGTTTTGTTTAATTTTGTTTTAGGAAAGGATTGGGTGATGTTTTCATAAGTACCCAAACTACACCGTGCCTGAGGGAAAGGTGCGGGTACCTTCATCTTTCCTAGAATAGCACTGGGCAGGTGTCTACATCAGCCTGGTTCTCGATACACTAGTCAGTGCTACATCACTCTAGGCAGGCAAGAACGTTGGATGGACTGGAGACCATGGTAACATCTGGGCACTGGGACAGGTTTGTGGGGCCTCAGACATTTCAAAGGCTGTCGGGGTCCTCCTTGGGGGTGGGGTGGGGGCGATAACAGCAATGAGTAATTCAGGATACTACCGTCATTCCCAGGAACATATTCCAACAGAACACCAACCCCTGATGGTGCTAAGATGAATTTCTGAGGATCTTTTGTGATACAATTTTAAATTCCAACCAATCTCCGTACTAAAGCACACATTCTGGTAAATGAGGGGGAGCACACTTTATCCCCTCATTTGGCTAAAATAAATCTGACAGCCACATTTATATTTGTTCTAGCAAATAGCAGTTTGTTTCCTCCTCCTCCTTTGTGTGTGTGTGTGTGGGGGGGGCAGGGTTTCTCTGTGTAGCCCTGGCTGTCCTGAAACTTGTTCTGTAGACCAGGCTGGCCTGGAATTCAGAGATCCACCTGCCTCTGCCTCCTGAGTGCTGGGATCAAAGGTACACCACCATCCCTGGCTAGTTTGTTACTTCTAAACACAATAGATTATGAGTTGGTATTTTTGAGCCAATTGTTATTTTATTTTTAATTTATAAAGAATCAGAAATCTCTCTTTTCACTATACTGGAAAGCAATTCTTTTATTACCTCAAATCAATCACCACTACCTACCTTAAAACATCCCATGAACGGCTCTACTATTACATTCTGCTGGGTTGGTCTGTTAGGGATATGTTCACTTGTACCTCCCTTCTAAATCCTACTCCAAAATGGTGACACGTCTTCACTATTAAGGACAAGAGCCACCTTCTCTGCTGGAACCTAAAGCTAATCTCATCTCCTTTCTAAGCTAAGAACAGGTGGTGGGGTGCTCACTGATGTGACTTCCTTTTGCTTTCTTAGATGCCGACTCACAAATGACTAGTTGTCCCCTTAGAAGGGAGCTTGAAGAACTGTTTGTCACCAATGTATCAACGGTGTTCATCACTCTCTGGTCTGATCATCACCACCATCATCACGATTTGTGAAACTGGCTTCACCAACTCCGATGCCCATGCCCTCTCACTGTACATACCTTAGCCACGCATCGCCCTAGCAACAGAACGCACACATGGAAACATTGCACCGAGAGGAGAGGGGGCCATGATAGCTAAATCTTTCCTCAGGGACTGGGGATAAGGGAAAGTTGAGTACTCCGAGCAAGTCAGCTGACCTCCTCACTGACAAGGCACTAATATACACAGCCTCAAATGAGCTCTTTATAAAGTCCCTGAGGTAATATATGGGATAAATAATTCTTCTGTAAATATGGTCTAGGAATCACTTTTAACTTGAATTCTGTGCTGACCTCTGGAGGCCAAAGCAGAGGTTTGGCTGCTAGAAGGGGCCAGGGGGCCAGCCTGGTCCTTCCTTTGAGTCTTTCTGGAAATTGGGGGTTGAGGGTGGGTGTGGGACTCCCCATCTCACAAACAGTACTGTAACACCCACCCTGTTATCCCTGAACCAAGTAAATCTGTTACAGGAGAGTCCTTGAACACACACAAAGCTGTTAGGAAATACTGGCTTGGATTGGGGGGAATGTTATAAGGCTGAAGAATAATTCCATTTACCCAGGCTGTACTTCTTTGCTCAATTAATAATTATAATTTTAAGGAGTAAGAAAGCACCTTGAAAAAAAAAGGAACAAAAAAGCAAATTGTGAATAAAACAATTTTTCAATTTCATAGGTTAAAACAGGGTCTTTGAGGACTGCACTAAATTATAGAGCTGTTATTAGCAGCATTGTGCACTACTTCATAATTGGATGTAACACACTCAGCCTTACCACAGCAGGTACAGCAGAGGGAGTGGAGTTCAGACTGTTTACCCTTTACAGTATCCACAATTATCCACAGCACACCACACAGATTACAAGCACCAGCCACTTGTGAATAGATAAGCGGAAGTGCAATATGGCCGTGCATTTCACACAATGTACCGACTTCACGGCGCAAGCTTTTTTTTTTTTTTTTTTTTTTTTCTTTCTTTTTCCTTTTTCTTCCTGGGCTAAGTACAGTACAAACATGTAGAGGATAAAATCTCCAGTGGTTTTGCCAAAGTCCAAAAACATGGCTCGCAACATTCAATTTCGAGAGCATATTCGAGCGGTTTCACCGGCTCATTTCAAGGCAGCGCTCGATCTGAAGGGAGGCTCTCCCTGGCTAAACCGCTCGCTCTCCCAGCAAGCTTGTGTCTTAGAGGGTTGCACCACACCATGGGGGTAGTATGTTTGAGTCTCAGCCTGAAGGGACCAGGACGAGGCTGAGGAGGAGAGAGAAGGGTTTTATCTTATTTATTTTTCCTTCCTGTTGCCCGGACAAACAGAAAGGCACGATTGTGGCCGCCTGGGTCCTGAGCACGCCGCCGGCTGCACCGTGTGGGCTTAACAAAAGCGCGGGCAGAAAGTGCAGAATGGCACCGTTTTGATTACAGGCTTGCTTTTTAACGGAAATAAAATTTCACAGTTAACAATGAGAGGTGAAAAGTTTAAGAGGCAAAAGCTGTTCCTCCTGATCGCTGACTGTTAATCAGCTTCATGGGTGGTTGCCTAAATCTGTAGATTTTTTTTTTTTTTAACCTCGCACTACTGCCAAGATTGTAACTAATTTTTCCCCCTGTTGTAAGAGGAGGGGTGAAAAACTCGGCATAGAAGGCAGCTGTGTATGAGTGACGTGAGGTACTAACGCAGAGGGCAAAATTAAAATTCATGAATCTCTTCACAACCATTTGTGTAACAAGATTAAGACGGGACAGCGGAAAAGAGCGGCATTATCAGGCGTCTTACAGTCCTCCAGCTGCTTACCGCTCTATTCCAACACAGTAGGGCTAAGAGGATAACACGCAGCCCGAAGGGAACCGCGGCTCCTCCGATGGGGAGCAGGCGCGGCCCGGGGACGGTGGGCTTTGGCCAGAGACGCAGGGGGAAGAAAGCTGATTGCCGCTCAGGATGGGAAACTTTTAAGCCCTGGCTATTAGCAGGGCGGCCAACAAAAGCCGCCAGGGAGGAGGTTTCCGCACCCGAGCCGGCCCTCAGCTTCCTGGAGCTGCGTGAAGGTGGCAGGCACAGGGCATTGCCTTTGGCCTCAAGGCTGGGGTTGAGATGCCTGGGCTCGGTGAGCCGGCACAGGGGCGTCCCCTACTCACTCCACCTGGCCGGCTGGTGTGTGTGTGTGTGTGTGTGTGTGTGTGTGTGTGTGTGTGTGTGTGTGTGTGTGTGTATCTGCTGAAAAAGGGACACAAGGGATGAGCATCCTTGTGCTAGAAGCAGGATGTCAAACTAATTGAATCAGCTCTCATTAAACACACACACACACACACACACACACACACACACACACACACACACACGGAGTCCTATTTATTTATTATACCTTTGACCCAGGACTGCATAGTACGGCCCCTGAGTTCTACTTCCTGCAAAAACATTCATGCAGGTTCACCCCACAGCCACAAGGAAGACTATTTGTGAGCCCATTGTTAGCAAGGGGAGGGATTTGACTTGTAAGGAAACCTAAGGCCACTTAATTATTTAAAGGGATGTATTTATGTTTGGGCCAGTTAGTCAGTCAGTGGTGCCCTCCCGAGGACTACCTGGGCACAGTACACAATAGAGATGCTAGAAACATGTTCAGAGGTTTTTCTGAATGTGCTGTGCTTAGCAGCATAGGGCGCAGCCCTGGAAACCAGAGGAGGGGCTGCCATCCACTAGAGTCTGGCACTCAGGTTCTAGACAAAGGAGAGGTACCAAGGACTCAGGGGCCTTGCTTGTCCCATCGTACTTCAGATGTTTCAGAGAGGAGACAAGGGGTCTCAGGGGACAGTGCCAAACATCTCTGCTGGTGGAAAGACCCACACCTTCGATCTCCTAAGCTGTCACTGAGAAACTAAAAGCATCTCTGGTTCTAAGGGGCAAGTTGATGTCACGACATCAAAGCGGCGTCAGCTGATCCTTGTAGCTCCAACCTGACCCTGGAGAGAAGGCCACCCCATTCCTTTGGTTGAAGGCACTCAGGAGGCCAGGAGAGACACTCTCCCCATTGGGTACCCCCCCCCCAGAGCTCTTCCTTTTGTTCTGGGGACAGGGTAAGGGAGGAGACATCATTCTGGAGAAGCAGGTAAGATGTGAATAACTTGTCACTGGGTTCCTATTTTCTGATTGCAAGCCATGGGTCTGATTCTGCCAGTGAGAGGATGCCATTAACTTTCAGTTGTCCAAGCATCGTCCACTCCCACCCCCACCCATAGGCTACAGGGAGCCCTAGAGACACAGAGAAGGCAACCCATTTCAGGGAAGTGAGAATAAGGGGCCGTTCTCTTGCTTGGAAGATCGGACCCGTTTTGCATATAAGTTTTCAGGAGCCAACCCATTTCGACAATATATCACCAGTCTGAGCAATAAAGAATGCTATTCACATTGTCTCGGGAGAAAATTAAGGTCAGGTTTTTCCTTTTCTGCAGTCACGGCTTGTGAAAGCATGCCAAGTCAGGGTCTCTCACCATGGGCAGATGAGCTCAGCAAAGGGAGATTTCTGCAAGCCACAAAATTACCCAAGAAATCTGCATTAGGCTAGTCCCTGTGACAGGCACCAGCCCACATGAGAATCCTAAAAACTTTTCCATGAAATACTCGCCTCTTGGTGTCCTATATTGCCCTATGCCCATAAATAATAAAAAGGCTGATAACACTGCTTTATGTAAGCAGGCTTAGAAATCACTCTCAGATAAGTGCTTTTGACCTAAATCTTGTAGCGCCTCATCCTGACATCTAACCTCACAACTGTGAAATTCTGTATGAGATTTAACAGTCTCAAACTGTCAACTGACCCAGCCATAAAGCAAGCAGAGATAAAGATTTACAGTCCAACATGATACAATTAGACATTCACCTTCTATTTATTTCAGCACAGCTAAGCGTTTAACCTACTTAAAAGCCGAAGGTTTTTCATTAGAACACAAATGCATTTTGTCATTCATTCTAAGCCGCCTCCTCTTGCATCTTGCAAATTAGTCCATTATGAATGAAAAAGATTAGTTTGTTTCAGAGAAAGGGGTAAACAGGCATGGTTTCTGTAAAATCCTCCTAGACACGCAAAGATAAAAGATGACTTTACCACACAAAATAATCAGATTCAAATAGCTGTGCGGGCGCAACTCACCTAAAGAGTACTTTAATCAAATATTTAGGTTACCTGCCAAAACGACCATGATCTCTTCAAAAATGCAAGGCGGATTAAAGTGTTATCTAGCACAAGCAGAAAACTAACCTTGGAGTGGAAGTTTGAAATGTGTTCATCATAATTTTCATGTCTTTGGAGAGAGAAACCGGCTTTCTCAGCTAGATTGCAAAACTGGTTGAATGTATTCCCTCGGCGTGGGGCAAATACCATTGCTTTCCCCTAGAACGTTAGAAAAAGGAATTCACACAGTTTAAAACTGGAAGGCAACCAAACACAGCAGACATGAAGTCAAAGCATTCATCTCCTCTAAGGTACAGAAACTTAACTGTTCTGGAAACATTTAAGCAGGCAGGAAGGACACTCATAGGGAGAATCATTCAAGGGCAGATAAAGAAAAGAATATCTCACACTCAAATGGCCGTGCTATATTGTATTATTTCCAAATAATGCATTTGTAATAAACATAACGTGGTTGGGAGCTGCCATTCTAGACAATGTATCCTGTATCAGGTCTAGAAGTTTATGACATGGAAATTAGAGTCTGGGGTGGTTCCCATCGCCTGTGACTTCTTCATACCTACCAACACAGTTCCAGAGCGCATGATAACCGATGTCTCTACAGTTAGTTTATTACACCCTGAAGATTAGGTGCCAAGCTACTCTCCATAGATGAGTGGCCACAATACATGCTGGAGCGTTCTTAAATTTCAGCCCTGTCCCTAGCCTTTTTCTGTGACTTTCCTGGTCTGGGACAAGGTTCCAAAATTTAGGTTCCCATCTTCAATGAATCCCTCAGAAAGGTCCACTGTAACAGGGCAACTCTACAGTAATCAAATGAAAGTGGTACCACGTACGTAGTAGGAAGGCATTTCTAAACAGCCACACAATCTGAAGACAACTGGGGCCCTGAGGAGGACCTGAGTAAAATGTCCACTGGACTTCAGAAGGCCAGTGTGACAAGACATTTCACAATGACCCTTCACTAATAACTGGGTGCGTGTGGACTCCCTCTTCCCCTGACATGTATACAGAATGACCAGGTTTCCCAATCTTATTTTTCTCCCCATTAAACAAAAACAGATACCTATATGCTTCTGTTAATTCCATGCTTATAGCTGTCATCGAAATGCCACCCTGAGGGAATTATGAGATATATTCCAGTTCCTTTTGTTGTTGTTTGTTTGCTTGTAGCAGGATCTTGTTATGTAGCCCAGGCTAGCCCCGAATTTGCGTCCCTCCTGCCTCCACTTTCTGAGGTTTGCGGTTGCAGGCATGAGTTACCATGCCTAACTTATTCAGGTTTATTATGACAGAAAGTTTTCACTCATACCTACCAGATATTTATTGGTACGGAAGTGTGTCAGACAATGGGCTCATCATCTACACAGACATCATCTCTAGTCTCCGACCTGTAAAAGCATCCTCAGGTCCGTTTTACAGGGATGCTCAGAAAGTTGGATAACTGGCCAAGAGGACACAAGCCAGACTTGATTAGAAGCCCATCATCCTGACTTCAACATGGGTGCCCTTCTCTTTATCCCTCTGTCTCCCTATTAGCCACGGTGATGGCAGTGACCACTACCACTGAACTGGTTGCTTCACGAATGCTCTTTAGTCCCTTGGATGCTGTTCTCCACTACCTTGTAGATGAGACATTGCACTTTACAGAGGAGTAAACCGGCAGGGGAAGGTTTGAAAAACAGTAGGAACCATGGGGCGGAAAGAATCCTGAACTTAAACACGGATCCTCACCATCAAACGGCTGCGGCATCTTAGGACGACCAGAACCACACCATCCAACCAAGGGCTGGAAGGGATGTTGGCGATGGTGTCGTCTGATCCCCTGATTCTGCACACAAGGACCTGCAGCCCCCACCCCCCGCCCAGCTGACCCGCTGAGTTTACTGGTCCATCTGATGGGAAGAACCAAGCCGCATGGCTTTGTTTGTTTGTTTGTTTGTTTGTTTGTTTGTTTGTTTGTTTTCCTTCCAGCAAGCTGTGAGGCTCAAGTGGAGTGAATGTAAAAACATGATTTGAAAAGCAAGGTGATTGATATGTAAGATCAGAAAAACTCTGTGTTACTCAACCGTGCTGCAAGAATCCTCACCCCCACCCCGTCCACCTGTAAGAGAACACACCGATCCATTGCTCTGGGCACAAGTGTGTTTCACACTGTGTTTACACAGACATACATACACACCCCCAGGCACATAATTACAGTGGCACCAATCACGCCACTATACTTAAGGTTCTGTCAGCTTTTCCAATATTAATTGCTATTTTCAGGCAGTTTTCAAACTTAGCAGCAAAAATTCATTTTTATGTGAAACGAGATATAATACACGGTCTCAGCGGGAGAACATGAGTCTTCTTTTTTTTTTTTAAGAAAAAAAAAAAGAAGGAAATATCAGTAGGGTCATTTCAGTCATTTCAAAGGACTGGTTGCCATTCTGGAGTTTTGAATAATGGAAGTTGTTTGCACCTACAAAGATTGCCACACAGTTACAATTGAGGAGTTGATTCTTTACAGCTATTATCCAAGCTATATATCATAGCGTTTCAGGGTGACAGGATTCTTGGTTGGGCTGATGTTTGCATTCACAAAGTGCATGCTTCCCACATCCCACTCACTAGTGGGCTGGGAGTGGGTGGTTAGGCTAAGAAGCGTTTTCTGACTAAACATCGTCCCTCTGCTTAGGGCTCAGTTTACCATCTATCACTAACAAATATATCCAGAATAGTAGCAAGCACGCCCCCTTCCCCTCGCAAGTCTCTCCACTACTGTTACAGCCCCCGTTGGTTCTCAGTACTTATCATCACAGACACACGCTACATCCTTGTTTGCTATTGCCTGGCTCCCCTGGCTAGATTGCACACTCCATGACAACAGGGTCTTCCAATCCAATGCTCTATGCACCGCACTTCCTCCATGCCTAGCAGGTAGTAGGGACTCAGTCAATATTTGTAGAGAGAATAAACTAAATCCAGGTGCTGAATAATCCAAAAAAAACACCGGTCTTTGAGAATTTGAAAGCCACATTCTATCGCTTATTCTTTTGAAGAGATTTTCTGCAAGGGGCTTTTACAGAAGCCAGTTCTAGGGAGGGATTGCAGAGGGCACCCATCTGCCCAACCCAGCACCCCCAGCAAGAGCAGGAGGGAATAGCAGTGTTGGTACAGAATTAGTTATGAGCTTTAAACTGTGTTTCATTTTGTTGAATATCGATATTTTGAGACGTGAATTAATGTTTTGGAGGGTGATAGTACACCACCCATCCATTCAAAGACAGATACAGAGCCCCATCGGGTTGCCAGTCTCTGCCCCATGCCGTAATGGGTGGTTTTCCAGGCACCCTGCCTCCCAGTGTCCCCAGAGGAGCAGAGCATGTCTGTGGAGGAGGACAACAACAGCCTTACAATTTAGGCTGCAAAAGAAAAAAAATCAAAACAAGAAAAACAATATAGATTTCAAATTAGCACATTACCTTAGGAAAATTATTTTCAATTTACCAAAGTGCAACTTTCTAAGCATTCAGCCACAGAGTCATTTTTAAAACTCAGAATGAACACTCAATTGAATGTAAAATTGGGCTGATGGGCAGAAATCCGAGGGAATTCACTTATCCCTGGAGAGACAGGGAGAGAAGTTCCATTCAGCAACAAAGCCACTGTTTACAGTGTGAGCACCACTGTTGTTACTTTGCTAGGCTGCTCCATACTCAGGTATTAAAGGGTCATACTTGTGGGAAAATAAGGGTGCTTCAGCTTTATTTAGGAAAGGAATGTGCCATGCCGCTGAAATGCCTTCGCCTCCTCCCTCTTCCAGGCAACCAATTATTAAATACCGATTACATGTTCAAGCTTATGCTTATTTTTGGTTTGTTTACCTGGCTTCTGAGATGCAGCCTTCACCCACTTCTTCTCCGGCCTCTCTCTCTCTCACTCTCTCTCTCCTCCTCCTCCGTTCCCGGCTTCTCCTCCTCCACTAGCTCTTTGTCAGAGGCTCCCCGGCTTCTGTCTACTTTTTCTTCGTGTTCTGTATAATTCTAGGCAATTGAGCCAAAGTCCACAGCTTCAACTATCACTTAAGTGTCAATAATTTCCGAGTATGTAAGTGTGGCATTCCCCTTTGCGAAGGGTCCACACCCATCGTTCCGGGTGCCCACTCAACTCAGCATGTGGGTATTCTGAAAATATCCTTAACCCATTCTGTCTGAAGGGGAACGTAACCCTTGGCTCCAAACCTGACCATTCTCAGAGCACTAGCCATCACAGCCCACCCTCTCACATTCATGCCCAGATACACAGAGCCGAAGACCTGTGTGGTGCGGTTTGTTCCCAAACTCGTTCCCAGCTGGAAACCTGGGAGCCAGAGCATCACCACTGGTTTCTTTTCTTTTCTCTTTTTCTTCCACTTTCCCTCTCTTCTCTTCTCCTCCCTTTTCTTCACAGGGTCTCACACAGCTCATGTTGGTTTCAACCCCCACCTCATCCCCTTGTGTTCACTTTCCAGAGGCCTGTGCCACCACACCTGGTAAGGCGCTGTCTTTCAGAACCTCAAAGCTCCGTCCCCCGACCTTCAAGTGTGTTCTGAACTGCTTGAGGGGGACCTGAAGGGATAAAAGGAGGCCAGGGCTGGGAGCACAGTGTTTTCACAACCTAGTTTACACTTGGTTGTTTCATTTTGGTGCTCGCTCTGGAACCCAGGGCTTTGTGAACGGCGTGTGCTCTGGCACTGAGCTACACCTGACCTTACTTTTGTCTCTTTAACTGGGATGCCGGCTAGACAGTTTGACCAAAAAGTCTCTCCAACTAAACAGGGATTGGAAACTCCCGAGATGGGTCCTGACTTCTTGGGATGGCAGACAAAGCCCCCATATGACCTGACTCACAGCATATCTACAAGTGTCTCTCCCCTACTCACCTGGTCCTCTAGTCAAACTGACCTAATTACAGCTGATGTGTTCTTTCACGCATCCCCTTGCCATTAAACTTGCAAACACTCCCCCGGGCTACAGTGCCTCTCCTACCTCACTTTTTCTGTCTGCCTGGTAAACTCTTACTCATCCCTCGACACCCAGGTCAGACACCCTTGATGCCTTTTCTGACGTTCTCTGTCCCTCCCCAAGCGGTCATTTCCACTCCCTTCCTCCGTGGGTCGCCACAGCTTTGCTCCCTCTTCACATACCATCTTGCAGCAGCTTGCTTCCTTGGGGTAG